CGCGGGAATTCAAATCCTTTTTTTTTTTCAACACCGTTTTTCGGGGATTTAGGAATTTCTTTGAATTTTTTCGCAATAAGATTAGGAAAATACATATTTTTTGAAACATTTAAGAGAATAAAAATTTTTGGTTGGAGTCCCCCTTTAATCGATGTCGAATACCACACACTCTAATGAATGGCCTAACTTTTTCAACGTGATTTTTCTAGGCCACCGTAGTTGATGGTCCAAAACGGATCTAACATGCACCCGATGTATTTTCTAGGTCATTTATCATAGTGGCCTAATTTCCGTAAAATGATTTTTCTAGTCCACCAACTTTTATGGGCCGAACGAACCTTCTAAAGAAAATCTTTAAACATTTGATATTAGGTTTTTTTTCGAAAAATGTCCCACATTGGTTTACAGTATGGGGGCCTTTTTACTGCAGGTTTTACGGAAGCCCGCCTTGGAAAAAAACGTTTGCAAAAATTACAAGGAACGTTTCCAATTGGTCCTACTTCTTATATGAAGAATGGAATTTTTCTCTGTTTCAAACGTTTCGCTTCAAAAAGATAAAAGTGATTTTTCTCAATTCGACAGTGATTAAAAACAAATTTGCATTTTTTTCTCAAATACCATTCCGGAAACTTATACAGATTTATTTTTTAGTCGACCCAAAAATTCAAACATCATTAATTCAGAAAAGTATGTATTTGAAGAAGTATCAGTTTTCGTTAAATTCCTGCACTTTGGGACATCTCTCATTTCAAGAATACTAAAAAAGAAGTGATTATCTTCATGGCGAAACTCAATCCGTAAAATGTTGTCCTCGAAATTCTTCATTCGAAAATACCAATGACTTGAAGATTCGGAAACGAATGCAGTATTTTTTCTCTGTTTCAAAAACTGTGTTTCTAAAAATTATAACTAATTTTCAATAATTTATCTCTGCTGATTTCAATTCTCATCTTCTGAAAACTTCCGCAGATTTGCGACAATATGAAAAAGTACCAGAGCATTTCTTTTTCAGAAAGTGAATTTTCCAAAATTTTCTGTTTCTGGCCAAATGTAATTTTTTGATTCTCGCCAAATGTTTTATTGCTTCCTTGTTAGTGTGACCAGTTTCTCGGTTTTTAAATATTTATTCCAATCATCACATGATTCGTTAAAAAAAATGTATCGTTTTTAAAACAAATTCTCCAAAAACATTTTACAAAAAAACCAAAGCACGGAGATCATTTACAAGCGAAAAAACTA